CATCTACTCAGATCATTGGACCCATGCTACATATATCAACGGACCCAAATTACTTAGATAAACGGACACATATTACTAAGATCAACGGACCATTCTACTCAGATCATTGGATCCATAATACTCAGATCATTGGACCCATACTACACAGATCAACGAACCAAAACTACTCAGATCATTGGACCCATGCTACATATATCAACGGACCCAAATTACTTAGATAAACGGACACATATTACTAAGATCAACGGACCATTCTACTCAGATCATTGGATCCATAATACTCAGATCATTGGACCCATACTACACAGATCAACGAACCAAAACTACTCAGATCATTCGACCCATGCTATTCAGATCATTAGACTCATGCTACACAGATCGACAGATCCAAACTACTTGGATTATTAGACCCATGCTACTCAGATCATTGAGACCATGCTACACATATCAACTTACCCATAAATGTACTACTCAGATCAACGGACCCATATTACTCAAATCAACGGATCAATACTACTCAGATCAACGGACCCATACTACTACTCGAATCAACGGACTCATACTACTAAAATAATTGGACCAGTACTACTCAGACTAACAAACCCATACAACTCAGATCAACATACCCATACTACTCAGATTTATAGACACATACTACTCAGATCAACGGACCACTCAGACTAAAGAAACGATACTACTAGAGCAACGGGTCCATACTTCTCAGATCATCGGACCCACACTACTAAGAGCAGCAGACCCATGCTACTCAGATCAACGGGCCTTTACTACTGAGATCAACGGACCCATATTACCCTATTCAATAGACCATCTACTTCGATCAACGGACCCATACTACTCCGATCAACGGACCCATACTGCTCAAATCAACGGACCCATACTACTTAGTTCAACGACCCATACTTCTCAGATCAACGGACCCATACTACCAAGACCAACGGACCCATACTTCTCAGATCAAAGGACCCATACTACTCAATGTTTTAATCTATACTTCTCATACCAAAGGACCCATACTACTCAATGTTTTAATCTATACTTCTCAGACCAAAGGACCTATACTACTCAGACCAAAGGACCCATACTACTCAGTGTTTTAACCCATACTTCTCAGATCAAAGGACCCATATTACTCAGTGTTTTAACCCATACTTTTCAGACCAAAGGACCCATACTAATGATACTACTCAGGGTTTTAACCTATACTTCTCAGACCAAAGGACCCATACTACTCAGGGTTTTTACCCATACTTCTCAGACCAAAGGACCCATACTACTCAGTGTTTTAACCCATACTTCTCAGACCAAAGGACCCATACCAATCAGTGTTTAAACCTATACTTCTCAGACCAAAGGACCCATACTACTCAGTGTTTAAACCTATACTTTACAGACCAAAGGACCCATACTACTCAGTGTTTTAACCTATACTTCTGAGACCAAAGAACCCATACTACTCAGTGTTTAACCCATACTTCTCAGACCAAAGGACCCATACTACTCAGAGTTTTTTTACCTATACCTCTCAGATCAACATACATATACTATTCACATCAATGGACCCAAACTACTAAGACCAACGGACCCATAACTACACATCTTAACGGGCATATAATCATCTCAAAGGACATCTACTCAGATCAACGGACCCATATTACTCAAATCAACGGACCAATACTACTCAGATCAACGGACCCATATTACTCAAATCAACGGACCAATGTTGAATATATGCCTCAACATTTCTATATGTTAAATATATATACATATCTGGGGTTTTGCTTTTTCTTTTGTGTTTATTTTTTCTCTATTCTATATTTTGTCATATATCATTAAGAATTAATAATAATCATTGTAATAAATTATTTGTAATTATACTGCTCTCTTAGGGCGTCCTTGATTGACAATAAAAATATTGTATTGTATTGTATTGTATAATACTACTCAGATCAACGGACCCATACTACTACTCGAATCAACGGACTCATACTACTAAAATAATTGGACCAGTACTACTCAGACTAACAAACCCATATAACTCAGATCAACATACCCATACTATTCAGATTTACAGACACATACTTCTCAGATCAACGGACCCACACTTCTCAGATCAACGAACCCACACTTCTCAGATCAACGGACCCATACTTCTCAGATCAACGGACCCACACTTCTCAGATCAACGGACCCACACTTCTCAGATCAACGAACCCATACTTTTCAGATCAACGGACCCACACTTCTCAGATCAACGGACCCACACTTCTCAGATCAACGGACCCACACTTCTCAGATCAACGGACCCACACTTCTCAGATCAACGGACCCACACTTCTCAGATCAACGGACCCACACTTCTCAGATCAACGGACCCATACTTCTCAGATCAACGGACCCATACTTCTCAGATCAACGGACCCACACTTCTCAGATCAACGGACCCACACTTCTCAGATCAACGAACCCATACTTCTCAGATCAACGAACCCATACTTCTCAGATAAACGGACCCACACTTCTCAGATCAACGGACCCACACTTCTCAGATCAACGAACCCATACTTCTCAGATCAACGGACCCACACTTCTCAGATCAACGGACCCACACTTCTCAGATCAACGGACCCACACTTCTCAGATCAACGAACCCATACTTCTCAGATCAACGGACCCACACTTCTCAGATCAACGGACCCACACTTCTCAGATCAACGGACCCACACTTCTCAGATCAACGGACCCACACTTCTCAGATCAACTGACAAACCCTACCCAGATCATTGAATCCATACTTCTCAGATCAACGGACCCATACTTCTCACATCAACGGACCGCTCAGACTAAAGAAACGATACTACTAGAGCAACGGGTTCATACTTCTCAGATCAACGGACCCATACTACTAAGAGCAGCAGACCCATACTACTCAGATTTACAGACCCATACTACTCAGATCAACGGACCACTCAGACTAAAGAAACGATACAACTAGAGGAACGGATCCATACTTCTCAGATCATCGGACCCACACTACTAAGAGCAGCAGACCCATGCTACTCAGATCAACGGGCCTTTACTACTGAGATCAACGGACCCATATTACCCTATTCAATGGACCATCTACTCCGATCAACGGACCCATACTACTCCGATCAACGGACCCATACTGCTCAAATCAACGGACCCATACTACTTAGTTCAACGACCCATACTTCTCAGATCAACGGACCAATACTACCAAGACCAACGGACCCATACTAATGATACTAATCAGGATTTTAACCTATACTTCTCAGACAAAATGACCCATACTACTCAGGGTTTTTACCCATACTTCTCAGACCAAAGAACCCATACTACTCAGAGTTTTTTTTACCTATATCTCTCAGATCAACATACCCATACTATTTATATCAATGGACCCAAACTACTAAGACCAACGGACCCATAACTACACATCTTAACGGGCATATAATCATCTGAAAGGACATCTACTCAGATCATTGGACCCATGCTACACATATCAACGGACCCATACAGTGGCGGATCCAGAAATTTTCATAAGAGGGGGCCCATTGACTGCCTAAGAGGGGGCCCGCTCCAGTCATGCTTCAGTGATTCCCTATATAATCAACCAATTGTTTCCCACAAAAGGGGGGGAGGGGGGGCGGGCCCCCTGGGCCCCCCTAAATCCGCCTCTACCATACTACTTAGATAAACGGACACATACTACTAAGATCAACGGACCCATACTACTCATCTCAACGGGAATATACTCATCTCAACGGACATCTACTCAGATCTTTGGACCCATGCTACACATATCAACGGACCCATACTACTTAGATAAACGGACACATACTACTAAGATCAACGGACCCATACTACTCATCTCAACGGGCATATACTCAGATCATTGGAACAATGCTACTCTGTTGATCGGATACTCTGTTCTTGGGAACCATTCTACTCAGATCATCAAACCATTATTAATCAGATCATTGGACCCATATTACACAGATAAACGGGCCCATATTACTAAGATCAACGAACCCATACTACTCAGACCAAAAAAATAAAGAATAGAGAATAATGGGTTGCGAAAATATAAAGAACAGAGAAAAATGGGTTTCTCAGAGATTAATAGTTTTTTTTGCACCTGTCCTAAGTCAGGAATCTGATGTTCAGTAGTTGTCGTTTGTTGATGTGGTTCATAAGTGTGTCTCGTCTCTCGTTTTTTATATAGATTAGACCGTTGGTTTTCCCATTTGAATGGTTTTACACTAGTAGTTTTGGGGGCCCTTTATAGCTTACTGTTCGGTGTGAGCCAAGGCTCCGTGTTGAAGACCGTACTGTGACCTATAATGGTTTACTTTTATACATTTTGACTTGGATGGAGAGTTGTCTCATTGGCACTCATACCACATACAGGGTGTCGATATTAAAGAAATTGCTGGTGATGATGACACTACAGGTTTTCAAAGGGCACAAAACGTTCTTAAAATAAAACTTAAGAAAAGATCGGACAAAAACCATATCAAGAAAAACATATCAAAACAGTTATATGCAATAAAAAAGAATTACAAAGAATTGTCACAAAGGGTCATCAATTACATCATGCAGAATTTTTCATACATGGTTGCGCAAAATAAAAAAAAACACAGAAGGTGTAACAACTGGCTTGAAAGCAATGGTAGGACATATTTTTGGTGACCATAGCTTCTGTAATACCAAGTGGTGTGTCTTCCTTGAACACCCTTTGGCAAAATTTAGTAAGTTACCATACGGCAAACCACTTCAAAATCCAGAGCTGAGGAAGGAACTGGATAGAATTTTTATTAAAAAATTATCAATTCAAGCAGAAAAACTTGCAAATCTTGCTAGCACTCAAACAAATGAAAATCTCAACAAAATGTTAGCAACAAAAGCACCTAAATATAAACATTATTCTGTATCTAACAGTCTGAGTTACAGGTTTATTGCAACAGTGGCACAGAAAAATGAAGGCCACAGATATGTGCATGAGGTAATTAAATGAACTATTTAGAGCAACATCTGTAATTCTTTATTAAATTTTTCTAAAGTTGTATCCAGACTTTGACAGAACCACAACATCACATTCACATAAACATGGTAAACCCAAGGTTTCAGAAATTCATGAAATTTGGTACCCATCAAAATAAATGAATCCTTAATATTATAATATTTTAATAATATTTATGTAGAGTCGGCAAGGTATACAAACAGAGACATATATCGTCTTCAAATTTTAGTCATAACATTTCAGTCAGTGAGTGTGTACAATATTAAGATTAAAGTTGAGAATGGCACATGTATACTGTTGTAATTATTAAATATTTTTTCTGACATGCATTTTAACAGGTTCATGAATCAATGGGGCTCTCACCAGGCAATTTTACCATAAAGCGTGCTACCTTCATGGATAAGATCAGAAGAAAGTACAGTAAATTACAGAAGACGAGGAAATATAAAAGGAGAAGAATTGAGCTTAAGTCGGAGAAATGTAACAGCAATGGTATAGCAGAAGTTCTAGAGGGAACAACTTATGAAACCAATATTGGTACATGCATCTTCTTTCTGTTTTTATACGACCGCAAAAAATTTTTTTTGGTCGTATATTGGTATGACGTTGGCGTCGTCGTCGTCACTGTCGTCCGGCGTCGTCCGAAGACACATTGGTTTTCGCACTCTAACTTTAGTTTAAGTGAATGGTTCTCTATGAAATTTTACCACAAGGTTGATTTTGGGGGTTATGGTACCAACAGTAAAGGAATTAGGGGCCAAAAAAGGGCCAAAAATAAGCATTTTTGTAACTTCCAGACATAACTTGTGTGTTAGTGTATGGATCTCTCTGACATTGTACCACAAGGTTCCATATCACAAAAGGAATGCTGGGATTGATTTTGGGGGTAATTGCCTCAAAATTTTAGGAATTAGGGGCCAAAAAAGGGACAAAAAACAAGCATTTTTCTAGTTTCATGACAATAACTTGTGTGTAAGTGTATGGATCTTTCTGAAATTGTACTACAAGGTTCCATATCACAAAGGGAAAGCTGGGTTTGAGTTTGGGGGTAATTGTCTTAAACGTTTAGGAATTTGGGGCCAAAAAGGGGCCAAAAAGGGGCCAAAACAAGCATTTTTCTAGTTTCCAGACAATAACTTGTGTTCCAGTGTATGGATCTCTCTGAAATTGTACTGCAAGGTACCATACTACAAAGGGAAGGCTGGGATTGAGCTTGGGGGTGATGAATCATAAGGGGGTTCAAAAAATTTTGGGGGAATTTTTTTTGCCTTTTTTTTCTTTAAAATTTTCCATTTTAAATTGGTTATTTCTGATTTATATATAAAAGCAAATAATAATGATATGGTTTGAATAGGTAAATTAAATTTTTTTAAGTTCTTAGACCACTTTCATTCTGTGTCAGAAACCTATGCTGTGTCAACTATTTAATTACAATCCAAATTCAGTGTTGTATCAAGCTTGAATGTTGTGTCCATACTTGCCCCAACTGGTTTTCAGGGTTGGACCTCTGCGGTCGTATCAAGCTGCGCCCCAGCAGAGCATTTTATTAGCTTGTAGTTGGGTGTGAGCTAAGGGTCCATATTAAAGGACGTACTTTGATCTATAATAGTTTACTTTAATAAATTGTGACTTGGATGGACAGTTCACTCATACCTCATCTTCTTATATCTATTGAGTTTGATTAACAGATCATTTTAAAAATTTCAGCTCGTCAGTCAGATATTGTACAGATAGCAGCTTTAACTGAGAATGAAACTTTCTCAGCCTATGTTATGCCATCAAAGAAGATAACACCACAGGCATCTGATATAACAAAACTTGCATTCTTTGATGGGCAAATGTAATATGATGAAGTTCCTGTGGAAAGTTCACCACCATTTGAAGTCTTTACTAATCTTATTGCTTTTTTGTCCAAGTTTCCTTCTAAACCAACACTTGTTGGACACAATATAAAAACGTTTGACTGCCATATACTGTATAATCAATTGAATAAATTGAAGATGTGGGATGAATTTTGCCTGTATTTTAATGGGTTCATTGACACAAGAATATTGTTTAGGAGTGAATATCCAGGTCGTCAAAGTTACAAGCAGTGTGATTTAGTGTCAGATTTTTTAGGGGAAAGCTATGATGCACATAATGCTTTGTATGACTGTAAATCTTTATTTAAACTGGTGCGATCACATGGAAATTTAGCTTCTCATTTCTGTTAGTATACATTTGATGGAATGTACCCAAAATATTGCCAAAATGACTTATCTTTCAAAGCTCTTGTTGAAAATAAAGTAATGTCAAAACAATTAGCCAAAAAGGCAGCTTCAACTGGGTTGTGCAAGAAGCATTTTATTTTGTCAATTCAAAGAAATGGTATTGATGGACTGAGGGCACTTTTGTCTCAAAAAAATAGTTCAGGTGTAGTACGTGTTACAACATCAAAATCTATCATTCAGAAGGTGTATGATTGTTTTGTTATATGAAATGAAGAGTAAATTGTTTTAGATTCCATATGAATCTGATTATATATACATTGTAGAATTTAAATGGAACAATTATGGTGAATGCTACTAGAGATTAACGGAAATTTTAATCTACAGACATACTTGCTTCTGTGACCAAGCTTCTATTATATCTATTAGCAATAATTGTTATTATCAAAGAAACCTATTTCTTAGGATGCTAAATCTTTGACCTTATGGAGAATCAGGTCAATATATATAATATAAAGATTTAAATACTACATTGCACCATAAATGTTAAAGTTAATATTTGTTTGTGAGCTAAATTTTTGGATAAGAGATTAGAAAATTTTGACTGGTCCTGTAGTCTACTACGCATACCTTATTTTTTAGCAATTTGATTGATCCGTCCATGCTGAATGTCAGGAAATAGAATTTAAGTAGTAAAATTTTTTATAAAATTTTATAATGTTGTCTATAGTTCTTTAATTGTATGAAGGATTTAAAGTCAAAGATGACATTTTGTTTTACCACAGTAAGAATGATCATATTGTGTACCACACATATGTTGTGTGATCCATATTAGTGAATGTAATTTGTTAGACTTGAAAAAGACCACTTAAACTTATATCTACCTGATATATAGTTTATAACATGTTTATAGTTTGTACTGTCATTGTATAATATCACTACTTATTTAAGGATTTGTGAGCTGTTGCCATCAGTTTGTGTCAATTTTTGTCTTCTGTTCACATTTCATATCTTAATTTAGGAGGCAAATTTCAATTAATTAAAAATGGAATATTCTATCTTGTTACGACACTTGTTGGTAAAATTTTATCCAAAATTAACATGATTATTAACGAAATTTGTAAAATAGATATTTTTTCAGAATGATACTATTAAATAATGACTTGTGAGAATGATTTGTTATAAAAAAAATGTTTTAAAGAAAATTTATAGAAAAATTATATGAGAAAATACATGTTCATGTGAGTATCTGGTTTGTTATTTGACCAAGCTTGTACATGAAGGGTTATGATGTAGTACTGTTCTTGCATATATGTCTGTTAATATGTGCTGGAATTTATTTTGCCTTTTGTCATTTTATCAAATAAAGAATTCAAACACTATGCAAAGATCAATAAGAGTTGATGTGGTTTAAATTTTATACAGGTTGCAAATATTTTTCTTTTCATTAACAAGTTTTGTCAGATTTATCTTGACTGATGGTTTTTAAATTTACTGTTCCTACTGACATTTTAGTTTTCAATATGTAATACAATAAGTGTTTGTAACAACTGTGATAAAAAAAATTACGTGACAGATAATGAAAATTGCAAATGTTAATTTGGATTCAAACATTATATATTCATATATATATATATATATATATATATATATATATATATTTACAATATGATACATAATGGACTAAATTACCAGTCTATTAATTAATAAAAATTGCTTATAGTTCATGCTTGTATTTCTTTCTGTGTATTGTGCAACAGAATAAGTGCAATATTATATATGTCTTGGATACATAATACAGATCCCTTTCATCAGATTGAGCTCATGTGTTTGTTTCAATTTGTTTTAAATTTGGCATGGATGCAAAGGATAGGGAATAAAAGTCAACAAAGCCATTTGACATCTTTCTTTCTAGCAAACAAATTTTAATTTTAACCTTTTAATCTCTTTTTTACTCAAATAATGAATTTCAATTTATGTGTCTAGTAGAAGCTGCAGTTTACTGATTGACATATAGAGGACCTTTTCAAATTATTGATCAACCTGTAAAAAGAATGTGTGTTCAGCAAAATAAAAAGATGTGGTTCGATTGCCAATGTAACAACTCTCCTTTAGAGAACAAATGACGCAGAAACAGCTATTGGTAACCATCAAGTCTTTAACAATAACCAAAGCCCATACCACATGGTCAGCCATAAGTCTTTGTTTGCTTTCTTTTGTGAAAATGTTTAAATGTATACATTAATTAAATTTGTATTGTAAAAATAAGAACGTGTGATATCCTTGACAATGAGACAACTATTCAGGCGTAGAAGTCAGCTACTATATGTCACCTTATGGCATTTATCTTTAGCAAAATGGCTTGTACTAAAATCTGTAACATGGTAAAAACGGTAAGTTGGTGACTAGTACTCAAAATATGTTTTGGTCAATTGTGCAAAAAGAGATAATAATCCTCAAAATCCACATATTGTACATCAAAATTAGCATTTTCCCTCAAAATACATGATAACGAAAACTGACATGAAAACAAGGTAAAAAGATGACAACTAGAAAACCACTTGCACATTTTTATGAGACACACGGAGAGATTGATGCACGCAGAAAAAAAGGGGGTTGGTTGATTTATATGTAGGTAATCACTGAAGCATGACCAGTGCAGACCCCTACTTCTGGATCTTCCACTGCATGCATGCCTCTAGAGCAACTCCACTTTACGGGATCAGAAAGTTAGTTTTTACAACATATTGAAACTTTTTGACATCTGGATATGATTTTGAATGCCTAACCCTACCTGTACGTCATTGTTCAAAATTTGTGATTTTTTTTTAAACCGAGAAGAAGAATCTACAAGATCAAAATAATTGTTGGTGTATAAAACCAAGTTTTGATAACATTTTCTAAATTGTATATAAATTTGGTTGAAATTCAAGTATAAAAATTAGTTTCTCAAAATTTGTGATTTTGTGTTAAAAAAATTGGATTTTACCCAAATTTTGGTCCAGATATCTCAAAATAACTTATGGGGCATTCCTTTAATATAATTTTGCAGAGAATAACAGATTGTGAAATCAATTTAAGCAATAAAGACTTATAATTTGTACTACATAAAAATGCTCAAATTTACATGTTTCTCTATATATATATGTTCTAATTTCGAAGTGCATAAATTGATTTATTTGGTTGCTATGGAGATATCATTGGTTATCATGGATTTTTGTAGTAGAAATCTGTAACACAAAAGTGTTTCAAATAATAATAAGGACCTAGAATTTACCTAATTTAGTTCTATTAGTAATGAGTATTTATATTAATCTTTTCCCGGGAAATCTGGATACAGTTATCTCCCCTTCCTGAAAATCCGAAAATATTCAAGCAAATGATGAAATATTTCTTTAAAATGCACGGTGACCCTATGTTTTTTTATTATTTTTTTTTTATCTATATCTTTGCTACAATTCTAGAGAAAATAAGAAAAATCTGTCTCATGGATTTTTTTTCTGAACTAGGGAAAATTTACAAATGCCGATTTCCCTGTAATATCTATGTAAAAAACCTCGAAAATACACAATACTTTGGATAAGGGTACTGACCAAACAAGCACGGTGACCCCTATTTTTATTGTTTTTTTCAAAAGAGTATTTTATCAACTGCATTTACACAAAATATAAAAAAATTCTGTCTTAAGAAATATTTAGTGTTGATCCACCTTAACACTCCAGCCTTTCACTTTGAGATAAGTGCAAAGAGTGATAAAAATTAATGCATGCAGCTTCCTCCCACTGCTCCCTCCATTTTTAACAACTCCTTCCCTTGAAATTTAAATAAGAAATAAGATGACTCAAATGTTTGTGTTATTTCGCCAAGGTTCACGTTATAACGCTAACATAGGAAGAAACACAAAAAAAAATTGCATGGCGCTTATACGTTTCCGCACTAACGTCTATTAAAGTTGATCTTTTGTTATTGGTTCAATAAACATATATTGCATTGCATTGATGGGTATTGTATTACATACTAGATACCCGTATGTAGAAATGACTGACTTGTCGACAATCGGTAATGTTTATAAAGGAAACGAAAATGGAAATTCTTTTTAACCAAGAGGACTATTTTTAAAGGTAATTTTAGTTAGTTCTGTTAAATATATATATGTATACTATATATAAAATGACAGTTGTTTTCCATTTGTTTGATGGGTTTGAGCTTTTGATTTTGCCATTCAGTGATAAGGGACTTTTCGATTTGAATTTTCCATGGAGTTCGGTATTTTTGTTATTCTACTTTTCATTATTCAGACAGTAATATAAGTATAGTAAAATCTATATTTGTGTGTTACATTAAATGACCTTTATGAAAAGAAAATAATATTGTAGATTTTCGTGAACATGGGCGTATCAGGGATGCATCTTATGTTGAAAAATATGTTTTTAGTTCTTTTTTTAAATTTTTTGACAGCCTACTTTTTTAATACACTCCTCCGTATCTTCCTCCCTTTATGAAAGTCTTGGATCTGCCACTGGTGAAAGATATCATATGTTTCACGTATATATGCCCCCTTTGAGGACCTCATTCTGAAATATAAGAAGACAACTTTTCAAGTTACTATTTTACCAAGTTTTTTAATTCAATTCATAGTAAACCAAACAGAAAAGCTGGACGTCATAATACAAACTTGCTAAGCCTTGTAAGATGCACATATTTACTAGTTTAAAATAAACTTATAAACAAGTCTTACAGGTTTTTCAATCGTCTTTGTTTATCGCCCCGTAAATGATTTGTAATAGCTATCAGTGCTCTTTCAATGGACAGCTAACAAAGGTAAATCTATTTAAAGGTCCATCTAACAAAGAATTAAACATAACTTCCTTATTCATTGTACACGGAAATGTACCATTGATTATACCATTTGAAGGATCCAGTCATGTGGCCTAGACATAAATTATTTTCCTGAATGTGACCTACCGAATTAGACTTATTACCTGATTTGTACTAACATGAGCAACACGACGGGTGACACATGTGGAGCAGGATCTGCTTACCCTTCCGGAGCTCCCGAGATCACCCCCAGTTTTTTGTGGGGTTCGTGTTATCTTTAGTTTTCTATGTCATGTTTTGTGTACTATTATTTGTCTGTTGGTCTTTTTCTTTTTTAGCCATGCATGACGTTGTCAGTTTGTTTTCAACTTATGAGTTTGAATGTCCCTCTGGTATCTTTCTCCTCTCTTTTATTGATTTATTTTCTCTGCATGACAACATATATTTTCTGTGTAATACTTCAATAAATTTACTACAAACAACATTTTTTTTACGATTAACAATCAATTGCTAGTTTATTATCGACAGCGGTCACTGATAATTTATTTGTATGTATAAGTATTGCCGATTGACAACCAAATGTCAGATTTTTTTCTTCATTTTGTCTATGTGATCTTCATACTGCAAAGCAAGTAATTTTTTGGTATGCATCATTTTTCGTTTTCTTTCAAGAAAACTGTTCACATGATCATATTTAGTACTAGTATATTGGACAATTCAGAATCATTTTATATCTTTAAAGGGGTGGATGTATTTTTCTGAGGGATATCAAAAGTCATTTCTTAGCCCCGATTGGCTCATAATATACCTCTGAAGTGTGCCCATTTTTGTTTCGTATGGTTTTTTTGTTGTCTTAATATGTAAAATTGAGGAATTGCTGGCACAATTTGGCATTTGAGGGGTTTAAAACAAGGCATGTGAGAGATTGAAATGTGCCTGAAATTTTTCTTAGGGGGTCTTTGACAAGGTATAATCACCCCGGCTTTTCATATATTCAACGGGAAGTCCAATTACGAATTGTAAAAGGAAAATTGTTTCTATGCAGCCTTTTTGTTTACCATATAAGACTATGGAGCAGTCAATATACAAGACTCGGAGCGGGCCCAGGATTTTTCAAAAGAGGGGGCGGCGTTATTTCAGAAAACGGAATCTATCTACTACCGACGAGCGGAAATAGACCCTATCACTATTTAGGAATCTGCGACACTTGCAGGTGCTGATCCACTGAGTCATTTTTAAAAGGGGGTTCCCAACCCAGGATAAAAAGGGGGGTTCCAACTATATGTCCCCATTCAAATGCATTGATCGTCAAAAAAAGGGGGATTCCAACCCCCGGGCCGGAACCCCCCCTCCCCCCCCCCCCTTGATCCGCCACTGACTTGAACTGTTGACGTCATACAACAATCACGTTACCTTTGTGGCGCTAGACATTTTTTATTGTCACGTCAAAATTTTTACGGGAATATGATGTCCAGTAATGACGGACAAAAAGCGATAAGGTGTATTAGAGCGGTATCGGGTCCGTTCGCGCCCAATACACGTTCGCACCCTACACGTTCGCACCCCACACGTTCGCCCCCTAGGTCCGTTCGCACCCTACACGTTCGCACCCTTTTTTTAATTCAAAAACCTGATAAATTTTTAGATGTTTTGTAAAATATTTTTATTTTCATAAATAAAAATTCGGGAATTTTTAAATGAAATATTTTTTTAAATTGAAATGATGATTAATTATTAAATGTTAATTATGTATGATTACTGCTAATTGGTATTTATACACAGCCTAATATGATGTTATTGTTGAGTGTTTAAAAATCATGATTGTTGTCATGGTTGTTTTAACTTGCTTTAAATGTAAATGTAAATACTGCATGTATTTAGCTTGGTATGAGTAAAACTTTGAAGATTT